CAAGCCCTTAGTGTTTTGCTTTGGTGTGGTGGGATCATATGGGGCGCAATTCCCACACTGTGTCTCCAGTGTTGTCCCCTGTAAGGCTATGGGTCAGTGAAGGATGTCATGTCTCATAGTGGGGCCAGCCATATGGTCCGCTCTGTGGATTGGCTGCCCTGAGCCGGAATATCATCCTCAAGGGTTGGTAGGCCAGGTTGTGCTCCACTGTGACATAGGACTTTATGTAGTGGTGTTTTTTGTTATTCCAGTTCCATACCCATCACAGTAATTGCTTTTTCAAAGCAATGAGTATGCTATTTACCTTTTTTCATTTCTTTCAGAATTGAATTGTGAAACAGACATCAATGATTCAACCACAAAGGCTCACATTCCAGAGGAACCGCTCCATCGTGGCATTATAATGGAAAGGCTCATGAGGGATGATATCATGTATTCCACATTGAGAAAAGCCTCCAATTCTAATGATGAGATTAAAAGACACCAAGAAACCTACGGGAGAGAACTCAGAAAAGATATTTTGATTAACAAGAATAGCAGCCAAAAAACTAACAAATTTGTGGAAAATATAGTGAGTTCAAATGTTGTTGTGGATGAGAAACACTATAAATGTGACACACCTAAGAGGAGAAAATATAATTTAGATTTGATTAATCACCCAACAGACTATATGAAAACAAAAACCTTTCCATGTAACATATGCGAAAAAATCTTCAAGCAACCCATTCACCTTACAGAACACATGAGAATTCATACTGGTGAGAAACCTTTCAGATGTAAGGAATGTGGACGGGCTTTTAGCCAAAGTGCATCCCTTAATACACACCAGAGAATCCATACGGGTGAGAAACCCTATGAGTGTGTGGAGTGTGGCAAAGCCTTCAGACATCGCTCATCTCTTAATCAGCATCATAGAACTCATACTGGGGAGAAGCCATACGCATGTGATAAATGTCAGAAAGCTTTCAGCCAGAACGTTAGCTTGATCCAACATTTGAGAACTCATTCTGGAGAAAAACCCTTTACATGCAATGAATGTGGGAAAACCTTTCGACAGATTCGACACCTCAGTGAACATCTAAGAATTCATACTGGAGAGAAGCCCTATGCATGTACTACATGTTGTAAAACCTTTAGCCATAGAGCATATCTCACACATCACCAAAGAATCCATACTGGGGAGAAACCCTATAAATGTAAGGAATGTGGGAAATCCTTTAGGCAAAGGATACACCTTAGCAACCATAAAACTGTTCATACAGGAGTGAAACCATATGAATGCAATCGATGTGGGAAAGCCTATAGGCATGATTCATCCTTTAAGAAACATCAGAGACATCACACTGGAGAAAAACCCTATGAATGTAAAGAATGTGGAAAAGCCTTCAGCTATAATTCATCACTTAGTCGGCACCATGAAATCCACAGGAGGAACTCCCTTTCCAAATAATGTATAAAAACAGATTATTCAATATATGAACAAAAGCTAAATCTAGGCTTTTAAATTTTAAGACTCAGGATTCATACAGAAATTTTAAGGTTTTATATAATGTCCACTTTTAATTTGACCACTGTGTAAATATAAACTACAATAATAGCTACTATCTACTAACAGCATACAACATAATTAAGAATAAAGGATGATCTTTCACATTAAATAAGTTCAACATTATGAAAAATCCATTGTCCATTAACAAATATTTCTTCATGGGCATTCACTGATTGATAAACCAACATTTGCAAACCAATATTTAAAATATCACCATACCTCTTTTTTTATTTAAAAAGCTTTAAAAAAAAAAGAAGAAAAACTTTTTAATGGAAAAAACCTGCACATGATATGAAAGTCAAAATGTACAGAAGGCTATATTCAGTGGAAAGCCTTCTTTCTCTATCCCTATTTGACCAAACTGCCCAAAGAAAACCACTTTTCCTTTTCTTTTTTAGTCAACCACTTTTTCCATCTCTTTTTGTGTGTGGACCTTTAAAAAGATTATTTGTTTATACCCTCAACCCTACAAAACTCAATTCCAAATCATAGCAACTCTGTAAGACACTCTACAACTGCCTCTGTGTAAACCTTCATGGGAGCAGAAAACATGTCTCTCCCTCGGAGTAGCTGGTGGGTTTGAACTGCCAACCTTTGGTTAGCAGCCCAGTACATAACCTACTATGCCAGCAGAACTGTGTAGTACCAAGAGAATACAAATATATAGTTTTATTTTTTTAAGATGGTATGGCACCCTCTTAAGAAATATGTCTGCATATGTTATTACATCATGGAGGTCACGACATCCACCTGTAAAGTACATTATAATTCTTATTTGCAGCAGCATAGTGTCCATGGCATATAAATATTTTTTCAGTTCACTATAGGTGGACTCTTAGGCCATCAATTTTTTGTCTATACAATATTACAATGAATAATTTTTATTTTCCTCCGTTATACCTTTAGCTATATATACAGAATAAATTCCTAGAACTGGGATTTCTTTGTTAAGAGGATATGTATATTTATATTATGGATATTTTTTAATTGACCATAGAGGCTGGATCACTTTTTTTCCCACCAGTAAGACAGGGAGCTGTGTGTAGGGGCCTCTGGAGCAACAGTTCTGTCAGCCGTCAATGAGGCACAGTCAGAGCAGCAGCACTCCCCATCCTTGCAGCAGAGTGGGGGGTCGGGGTGGGGGAATCTGCATATCTTTGCGAATAGCAGCCAGGTCTACCAAAGTCTCAGCTGGAGGAGACGCCTCCCCACCAACTTCTCCAGTCCCTGGCTTCTGAGGCTGAAACTACCTGATGAGAGTCTCTAAAGAGGCCGTTTCACCTGTCTTAGTGAATATAACCTTAGCTGCAACTCCTTTAATGGGAACTGACCATTGCAGTAGGATACTTAGGATGGCAAAGTCGATCACAGAGATTGATTGACCGTATATAGCCTGTGATAGATGGTTGTTTTAGCTAGCTATAGTAAGCATGTGAAGGAAGACAGGAATGACATGACTTTCTAATTAATAGATATTAATTAATGAATAGGCATTCACTAATTAACACTTATGTTGTCACTCATCACAAAGGCCAGTGGTTTTTGTACTCGTTTCCAATCTTATAAAGGTTTATTTAAGTTTTAATGTTTCTGTAAAATGTAAATGGAATTCCCCTAATTTCCATCCCCATAGCTGCTCAAGATAGCATTGTATAAGACGTTAGGTTGCAAATAACAAAAGACAGGGCTAGTTTTTGTCTCAAAGGGGGACATTAGTTAGAGGGGTGCTGAAGTATCATCAAATCCAGGGGCTGTAGTACATGCCAACAGTGGGCTAGCACCAAGGCCTGAAGCACTTTGATGAAATATAGGATGTTTTTCCTACTTTGCTCCTCTACTCCTATTTCATTCTGACTCCCTCCCCCCCCCATGTCTCATTGTACATCACAGCTCCATCTGCTCCAGAGTTTACATAATATTATTTAGCACCATCCAGATAGAATCTGTCTACTCTTTCTTACTTCCAAGCTTTAAATGATACGAAGGTATCTTAGTGTCCCAGATGGGTCAGGTGCCCATCCCTAAACAAATCAATTATAGGCGGAGTTCAGTTTCCATGGGAACCATATGGATGGAATGGTGTTGAGACAGGACGGCAGGTCTGAAGGTGAGGTTACTGTTGGAGGTCCCAATTCCAATTTCAATGCCAGTTCATGGGATCAGAATTTTATAATTGGAAAAGGTCTAAGAATTCACCTAATCAAAACACTTCATTTTACAGCTGAAGATGGAGAATCTCCTTCTTTAATCATGTGTCCTGTTCCCAGGGTCACAATTTTTGGCTTTTTCTCTTTTTCAGCTACTTCTCAAAATTCACTAGCCTCGCTTCCCAAAGATCTTCCCTTCATATCTGAACATAACTACTCTTTGACATTATTAAGGGCTTTCCTTCTTACATCTACTGCCCCAGGAGATCTTCATAAGTTATGTTCCAGAGTCTGCTTGTTGACTGCCTGAGCTCAGTGCCTGTTCGTTTACTCTGCTTCCTCACAGGTACATCTCCCTCTGTTGATCACACAAATGCCCTTCCTCAGGGCTGTGTCTTTAGGCATAGTGTTCTCAAGGTATACATTTTCTCTGATTGCTTCCATTGATATTTTATTACATCTACATCTCTAGCCTAGACTTGCTCTGAGCTCTAGAACATCAATTCCAGATGAAACTCATCAGCTGAAACTCATTTCTTTCCTTTTCCCCCCCATCATCTCGTCCAATCAGTCACCAAATCTTTTATACTCGTCTATTTAAAAATCACCTTTCCCTTGCCATAATACTTCCTAATTGTTTAAGTACAATCCCAACTGATTTTTTATATCTAATTTCTACTCAGCTTTCTATCCTCATTGCTGCTAGAGTGATCATTTTAAAATACCTATCTAATCAAACCACATTGTTTCTTAAAATCCCTTAATGGTTTTTCATAAATTGAAGATAAAGGTTAAATTTCTTATTAAGACCACTTGGCTTGAAAGTCACTTGGCAGTGGCTCCCAAAATACAGACAAGAAACACCTAAGGGAGACTGCCCTTCACTGGGCTGGCTGGAGAGGGGTCACTGCCATCGAGTACATTCTGACTCACAGCGACCCTATAGGACAAGGTAGAACTGCCCCTGTGGGTTTCTGAGATGGTAACTCTTTACAGGAGTAGAAAGTCTCATCTTTCTCACAAGAAGTGTCTGGTGGTTAGCAGTTCAGCACAACCACTTACGTCACCTGTGCTCCCTGTGGGTGAGTGCCAGGTGGGTTGGGGGTGAAGGTCATCCACTTTCCAATGTTCTCTGCTTGAGGGCAAGCCTGTTCTCATCCGTAGCTAATGGTCAGAAGGGATCCAACAGAGAAGTTTAATCCACACGAGGACTCTGGAAACGGATTTTGGATGGTCATTGTCATCCATAGCCTTCTGCAAATGGGTGCTTAATAAAATATGTGAAACCGAAGGTCTGCGGATACTAATATGGAGGCCTGGTTGTGCTGTCTTAGAAGTTGGGCTACTAACTGCAAGGTTCACGGTTCAAATCCAGCAGCTAGCTAGTCGCTGGAGGTGAGGCTGTCTGCTCTGGTAAAGATTTACAACCTCCAAAACCCGGTATATGCACTACGTGTAGGAATCCACTTGATGGCAGTGGATTTCGTTTGGGGTTAGTCAGCCCGCAGAGGACTCGCGAGAACCGAGCGGCGGCGCGGAGGCCCCTGGGAAGAGGGGGGTCAGGGGACTGCGGCTGGGTATCCCCGGCCCAAAGCTGCAGGTAGCAGCGCTTCCTTCCCCGCGTCCTCAAGCTTGGTAGGAGAGTCCGGGAGCAGACCCGAGGCCTGAGCATCACGGGGTGGAGTCCAGGGTTCGGCGGAGAGAAGGCTGCCGAGTAATGTGGGGGTTCAGCGGGGGGTGCATTTCGGAGGCCAGGGGTCTTTCCGCCCGCCCGCTCGCCGCCTCCCTTCAGCGTCCTTCCCGGAAGTAAGTCGCCCCCGGGTAGAGCGAATGCAAAGGCCCCCGGGTTGACTCGGTCCTCGCTCCAGTAGGGATCGCGCCGTGAACTGAAGGACCGCGGTTGGCCTTGGCGGACAGGTCCCTCCCCAGGGGACACTCGGGGTCCCCACGTCCGGGCGCCACCGCCTCCGCGGTGTCCAGGGTGCGGGGAGAGGCAGTCCGCAGGCCCCTGGAGCCCAGCAAACAGAACCACCTGCGTCTGCTGGCCTGAGGCCGGGGCTGGGAGGACTCCGCGGGGAGGAGTGATTGATTGATTTCTGACTCTCTTACTTTTCAGAGAGGAGGACATGGATCAGTGAACTGTATCCAAGATATGAGGGAATCGTCATAGCCGAGGCGTATTTGCCGCAGGAGACAGGCGCGCGTTACCTGGGACCTGGAGGGGCCGCCCGCAGGCCAGCGAGGAAGCAGAGGCGGAGACCGGCCGTGGAGGGCGTGGTTCTGGAGAGGCCCAAGCCCCGCCCTCCCAGAGCAAGCCCTGCTTGGTAAGCTCAGTTTTCCGCCTTCCCCTGTGAGATCGGTGGTTTGGTTGTTTTAAAGAGGAAGCTCCCAGGTGAGAAGGAATTTCTTTTCTTTTAAACTTTAATCTTATTTATCAGAGGGTTTAGATGCACCGTCTTCCTTCTTCTTTGGGAAGGGGGAGAGAGCCACATGCACTAAATGCGAATATATATCTTATGTTATCTTTTGAAGCTTACTGAGTAGGAAAGAGTACCTCATTTTATAGATAAATACACGAGGGAAACGAAAAACTGGCCCACGATTACTCAAAGGGCAAGAAACATACTAAATATCACTATCCGAGTCAGGATCCTGCTCAGAATCCAAGTCTATGGCCACCCAAATGACTCCTGCTTGTGTTTTCTAAACAAGCCCAGAGTGGCACCGTGGGTTCAGTTGCCAGTCAAAAAGCCCACTAGCTACATTGTTCCAATAAAGATTTCCAGCCTTGGAAACCCAAAGAGCTAATTCTCTCGGTGAATCAACTCCACAGCAGTAAGTTTAGTTTTTTAAGACTCTAATCTGTATTGTTCTTCTCATACTTGATATCTATTTAAAACTCAAACTTATCCTAAGAAACAGAAAATTTGTTCTTTAAAAAAAAAAAAGTTTGAAATTATGCATTTGATGAATACTGATCAGAAACATTTAGATCTACCTTGAAATGATACAAGTATTTTAAACATGTGTTGGTCATGGTACCATGTGAAATCATCACATATATCAAAGGGATGTGGACTACAGCTGGCTTGGGACACCATGCCTTGCAACATGCTCTCTACTCTCCTGTGTTTGGTTTTTTTTTTTTCTGCAGAGGAAAGACCAGGTTACACATTTACATCTAAGTTGTCCATCCTAGGATATGGTTTGCTTCTTTTAGGTGAATAATTACCCAGAGAATGGCTCCTTTTGTGTCTTCGCCGTGACACATTTCACTTACCTGTTTAGAGCTATCCTGTTTTCAATGTTGTAGAAAGTCTGCACTTGCTGTATGTTTTAAATCTGTGCAGTCCAGTATGTGCCTCCTAGCCATATGTGGCTACTAAGCATTTCAAA